AATATGTAAAGTCATGGCAATCCTTCAGCCATATCCCCACATGAACTTGTTATGTTTTGAGATAAGACTGTAGGTACCAATATGAAAAGCTTAGAATAGCCTTTCCTAATGTAAAAGACAACTTGTGCATGATGTCAAAAACTAATGCTGCAGCACTGGCAATATGTAAGATCATGTCAATCCTTCAACCTCATCCCCATAACCTAGACAGGGCCAAGGACACCATAACCTACATGTCAACTACAAACTTTTGTAGTCTCAAAAAGCGGACACTACAAACTTTTGTAGTCTAAAAAAGTGCCTTTTCTAAAGGCTCTCATGCTCTCTTTTGCATATGATTCCTCAAACTAGACATGGAATTGAGTCCCTGCAATGTATCTGTATATTCCCCAGCCATTTCCCCATCAAATATGTGCCATGTATGGGATGGATGGGCTAGGTTGACTTTGGATAACCTTTTAGCCCTAACCCTAACTTTGTAGTCTAAGTCCAACTTTTGTAGTCTTTTGTAGTGTATCAGTAAAATTTGTAGTCTATGTCCGACTTTTGTAGTCTTATGTAGTCTATCAGTAAACTTTGTAGTTGAGTCTGACTTTTTTATAGTCTATCAGTAAACTTGGTAGTCTATATCTGACCATTCCTTTTCTAGGGCATGCACCTTCCTTTTTTGGTCATTTTCCCCATGATACAATAGTTGTAGCCCTTTCTTTTAGCTTTCTAAATATACTGAAATCATATTGTTTGGTTTTGTTTTCATGGAGAAAAATGCAAAAAACAAAAAAAAAAAACACGATGCTTTTGGGATTCCTTTACCTCATATCTCCACAACGGGAGCACTTCAGAACATAATTTGAACAGATTCAGGAAGCTACAGTGTAGGGCTACAACTTTTGTTTTTTGACCATTTTTGGTAATTGGTCATGTGACCATCATCCCAACATCCCATTACATGGACCCTGATAGGTAAAATCATTCTCCAGTTGGTTTTCTTCACTTTTTGGTCAAACCAGGTGATATTTCCCTTTTGGGATGGAACCTGAAGTGGACCCTGAAGGCAGTGCCTGATGTTCTGTATACCATTTTTATATATATTCAATTTTTCCACTATTTTTCTGGCTATTTTTGGATATATTACCATATTTGGAACTGGACCCTGGACCCTGACAATGTTACCCAACATGATGATCAGCAATGAGCCCTAATTTTTCCTGATTTTATTGCCATTTTACATTTGGAAATGCACCCTGGACCCTGAAAGGTCAGCTGCCACTAAAAATGAAATATTCATTGAAAGCGCCAGGTACACATATGAAAAGTGCAATGAAATCTCCTAGGAATAAGAATGAAATATTCATTGAAAGCGCCAGGCATCCAAATGAGAAGCACAATGAGATATCCTGGGTTTAGCAATGAAATATCCAATGAAAGCACCAGGTATATCTATGAAAAGTGCAATGAAATATCCTAGGAACAAGAATGAAATATCCATTGAAAGTGCCAGGCATTCAGATGAAAAGCACAATGAAATATCCTGGGGCTAACAATGAAATATCCAATGAAAGTGCCAGATATATATATGAAAACTCCAATGAAATGTCCTGGAGCTAAGAATGAAATATATATTGAAAGAGCCAGGCTTTCATATGAAAAGCAAAATGAGATATCCAGAGATAATGAATGAAATATTGCAGGAAATCGCAATACAATATTAATGAGATCACTTAGGCCATTTAATGAAAAAACCAAATGAAATACATAGGGAACTTAATGAATGAAAATACTAGACAAAATAATGAGTTGTCTCATTGAACCTCTAGGCATTATACACATCGCCTTCCAGGCATGTGTCTGGTTTTTATCATAAGAGTGTATACCACTAGTGCTGGTTCCTCCGTGTCGCTAGTGTAAGCATATGTCGTCGTCGGGGAAACACGAGAAGTGCTCAAGGAGGCACGAGCCGAACTCAAAGCAGCCACCAACACAGAGGGTGGGATGATCAACGGAGACGCGCTAGCACTTGCACGAGGGGCAGAAGCGCTCCATCGAGAAGGACTCACACTCCTGGGCTGCATCCTCGAAATCGGCAAGAGCGCCCCTAGCTGCTTGTCAGCATGGATCGGCAAAGGCAAAGACGAGGCGTTCTTTGACCTAGAATGTTACTGAGGCTGAGGAGCGAGGAGACACCGCTCGTCCTCTCGCATTCGACCACCCGTCCCCTTCCCAGCTGCTCTCCCTTTTGCTCTTCTCCTACAGCCTCCTGCTGGACCAGTGCTGAAGTCGTCCGTTTGTTGAGGGTTCGTCTTGAACGAGGGCGCTCATGAGGGTTGAGAAAACTAATAATTATTGGATTATCTATGCTATGTCAGCACGAAGAGCAGTCTTAAGTTCCACTTAGGTACTCAACATACGTTCTATGGCACTTGTATCTGCGTATATCAAGTCAAGCCTAATGTAAAAACTTTACGCGTGCGGGGTGGGACACTCTGCGCGCGGCAGAGTTTCGCGCGTGCGGCACGATTTCGCGCGGAATTGTTTATTTACCAGATCTAACAGCATAGAGGGACGTGGGTGCGACTTTTGTGGAAGAAACGCCTGTTAAGCTGCGTGCGATGTTTTCTTCGCGGTCTCAAGCGCAATGCCAGGTGGATTCACAACCGACAGGGAGTTAACGACTGGCGACTGGTCGGTCTACTTCGTCTTCAGATTCATCAGCAAGATCACAAATTGGTTGGGACGGCTTGGGACGCTTGGCCAAGGCCGCCAACTTCGCCAAGCTGCCAAGCTCGATCCGGTCGTCCGAAAAAAGAGGCCGGATACGAGCTGGCGCAAAATCGGCCAAGTAGCTCCCAAGTAGCTCCCAAGTGACGCCGATTCGAAGATACTCGACCGATTGTAAATATATTTGGGCTACTACTGTAGACTAGACAATTCTATGTATCTACGAGCCTTTTGTGCACAGGAAAGGATTTGGTGTGAATATTGGTAAGCAGTGTCTGTGTCCATGTAGGATGAGAACAGTGTGGCGGGATTGGGATTAGAAAGATACATACCAAAGTTCAATGGTTGCGCGGGGATCCGCAGCGCCCTCGACAGAATCTTCGTCATCAACTAACCCGTTGAGGCCGGCACGAATATTTGCCTCCTCAAATATGTACGCCCAATCCTCTGGCGACAATCGAGATGCGGATTCGATCCAACCACGTGTCTTGAGACCCCAGTCGCTGTCGTTGAATTGAGCGACATTTTTCTTTTTGTTTCCCTTCTCGTCCTTGATCGGGTTTACCCCGAATCTCCAAAGGAACAAGGCACATTCCATCTGACCCAGGGTTAGTATGGCATGTGAGGGATCACGAACTACACTCACGGCGGCAGTGCAAAGCCCCAACCCTCCAGCTTGGGATCCGTATGATCTGGGGGCGTTGCTGGTTTTCTTGAAGTGGTATGCGAATAGATTGAGAATGAGGTCGGATTTGAAGCCTCCTTTCTCATTCTACAAAAGTACATCAGCAACTTGGCCATGATGAAAAAACGAAAGACAAACAGGAGGGGCATCGGGGTCTGCATAAATGAATCTAAAGCCTTCCAAGGCGTGTGGGACGAAAGCCATGATTTCGTCCTTGTTGAGGTTGTACTCAGCAAAGAAAGCGCTGAGGACATCGAGCGCGTTCATTCCGATGCTGCTGCGCCAATCTGTGAGAACGTCACCGGCCTAGGTAGAGGTGAGACATTGGTATGAAGAAAAAGG